GCCCGCGGCTGCGCGCCCCTCCGCACGTTCTCTGGTCTCCTGTTTCTGCCGATCGTGATGTGTAGTGTTTCACAGGTGTCTCTTGCTGTATTTTTCGCCTTAATGTAGCTTCTTAAGCCTGCTGCAGAGGCTGTGGTGAATGTATGCGGTAGGATCTGGATTGTAGTTCAGCGTGAGCTCTCAATACCTACATGAGCATCTCTTAGCATTAAAGCATGACCCAAATCAGTCTTAAGACTGATCTTTTAATACTGATCGTCTTAAGACGATCTTTTCTAGATCGTGTTTTGTACCAAAGATTACATCGCTTAGCACTATAGAATCATGGAATTGTTTAGGTTGGAAAAGACCTTTAAGATCATCAAATCCAACCATTAACCTAACACTGGCATTCCACCACTAAACCATCACACCTAAGCACCTCAACTGCCTGGCTTTTAAATACGTCCAGAGATGGGGACTTGACCACTTCCCTGGGTAGCCCCTTCCAGTTCTTGACAACCCTGTCAAGTTTAAATGTTCTTGTTTTGTTTTTTTTTCCTTTCAGAAAGCAATCAAGGAAAAGGACATACCCATTGAAGGCCTGGAGTTCATGGGCCCAAGCAAAGGAAAAACTGAAAACTCCTCTTGACCTCAACTGTATGGGGGGAGTCAAAGCTCCTCTTGACCTCAACTGTATGGATGGCGTTGCTAATATGAGCCTTTGGACTAAGCAACATCACCAGATGTACGACTCGATACCACCTGGATGAGACCTTTGTCAAGCTGCTTTCTAGGAAGCGAGCAATCTTTGCTGCTTGTAAAAACAAACAGCCACCAAAAAAAAAAAAAAAAAAAAGGAAAGGAAAAAGACTGGATCATGTGGTAACTACTGCCTCCTTTTCAATGAATTTTGGTGGTGGTTCAGCGTCTAACTGCGTGAAAAGCCGTTTGAACTAACTTCCTATTGAATGTACTCTATAACGGTATAATGCTTATTAGAGTGGGCTGAGGTAGTTGCTTTGTGACCAATTTCTCTTGCTTATTTATATAACACTTGAAAGTGTTTAAAAAGAGTGTGAAGGAGGTTGATTTACTTTGTTTTGTCTCTATGCTGCTGAATTTTGGTGGAAGAAGTTTTAGATGATTCTGAATGCTGAGGGGCTAAAGCATTGTTTTGTATCGGGGACAGAGATGGTATAAAAGCACTCTATTGGACCTGCAATAACTTAGCTAAAATAAATATAACCAGGTTATATTTTGTTCAAGTAGATAACTGTCCAGTAGAGTCTGATTGTCACCTCTAGGAGGGACGGAGGTGGCCTGCAACAGAAGCTGAAGAGGACACTTTTAATGCAGAGGCTAATTCTTCAGCCCTTTCTGAGGTACTGAAACAATCCCAAATGTGAATTCTCTCTCCTTTAGCATTACACATCCCTGCAGTAACACTGCAGCGCAGCCCCGGCCGTCCTTTTCCGTGCTAGCACAAAGCGCCGGGCTGGCCGCAATTGCTCACTCTGGTTTGTGGTAATTAAAGCGGGTATTGAAGGAGGGAATCGTTGGGTAATGTTGAAAGTCCCAGCTGCCGCTTGGGGATCTCACCTGCTCATGAAGCTGCTCCTGAACTGTGTGTACAGGTGTACTTTACACCTAGGAAAGCAAACGGAAGTTACTTGTGCTGGCTTGTAAACTGCAGAAACGCTTGTGGCAACTAGAAAAAGGGCATTTGGAAGAGAAGCATGGGATCAGGATCCATTCTGTCCAGTGGCCCTGTGAGCACTGTGGCAAGGGAGGGGGAGATTTCCATTGATCCTCATACAGGGATGGGCAAGAGTTGTCCCCTCTCATTACACCAGCATGGGTGAAAGAGTAAAAAGTACGATGGTCTAAGGACAAAAAAGAAGTCAACTACGTACAGTTTGCTTTTCTATGATCTTCATGTAGGAATAAATGTAGTACAATTAATGTCAGTTAGCTTTAAAACAGCTGTGTCTATTAGTGCCTTATTCTGTGCTTTTAACGCAGAAAAGCTTGTCTTAGCAGTCATTTTACGAGTTAAGCGAATGAAATAAATTGCAATGAAGCTTGGGGAAGGGTGTCCCCGTAGTACCCACTTTTGAGATTCTCGCTGCATCGTTCCTTTCGTCCTGATGCATGATTTTGATCCTTTGGCCCTGATGCATCATTCCATCATCCTGATGCATGGATGCATCATTCCTTTCAGCAGCAAGATGCCAAGTCAGCTGCTGCATTCTTCCTTTTGGGAAAAATGATATTAATGACAGCTAAGACATAGCTCGCTCCTTCATACCATGCAAAAAAATACAGAAGTTGCAGAAGGAATTGGAAAACGGTTGACTTGCAGAGAGGAAAACCCTCAGAATTAATACTGTACTGGAACAAACTCAGGGCTTTAGAATTTGCTGTTAACTGTGGAAGGTAATTAAGTTCTTCGAGGTTAAGAAGCTTCCATGTGACACAGTATACATTATACAGATGTATGCAGTGGAGCAAAAATTGTGTTTTCATTTGTAACAGCTGTGTGAGAGACTTTGTACAACCAGACTGCAGCTTTATGAAAAGCGGAGTTGTGAGCAATGTACATGCTAATACACCAGAAAATCTGAGCGCTGAAGATTAACATTGTGAAGACACACAGAGTTTAATTATTAAACATCTTTCCTGCCACTCCCTCTCCCAGAAGGGGCTAAGAGAAAATTGCCTTCATGACTGTTACTTATATATTGTGATGGCTGATTATGGAGAACGTGCTTCAGTATATATTGAATTTTAATCTACAGTATTAGCCTGATACCTGTTCATCTGGCTGTGAGCTGAGGGTTTACAGCAATCAGTTAAACCAGAAATGAAGAACATGAAATTGAGCAGTGTACTATAGTGGGTGTGTTCCTGTTAGCGTTATCAGATTCAGGAGCGGGTATGAACCCTCAGGCAGTCAAACCCCTCTGCTTCCTGTGGGAAGCCTCAATGTTTTAAGCAAATGCTGAACTAAAGAACTAAGGGTTCAGATTAACAAAAAAGTCAGATCCTGAATTCGAGTTCAGAGTTGTTTATTTAAAGGACCTCTACACAAGTACAGACAGAGGCCACAATGCCATTGAGCTTCATCGTAGAAGGAATGTGGTTTCTTAAATGATGGTTCCCTAAACGATGGTCCCCACGCAGCATTCTGGTCCAAGACTGGAAGAGCCAAAGTTCTGGCTGTGGTCAGGATCTTAGTTTTCATCTTCATAACCGGTTGGGAGAGCATTAACGTGGGGGTTGTGGAATAGAGTTTTGTTCCCGTCACCCCAGGGGAAAGGCTGTTGAAAGAAGACAGAAAATAAGTCAGTGGGAGCTAACTGGACGGTCTCTGCAGCGTCGGAGATCGACAGCAACATGGACTCAAATGTCACACAGCCTGACAAGCTGATGAATGAAGCAAATTGGTATCTGTTCTGTAGGAAGCAAAGAGCTGGAAAACAATCTCCCTTAGCGAGGAGCCGCTGTCTCTGGGCAACATGATCTTTGCTCTTGCTTAAACATCAACTGTGCTATACTATGAGGATCCCAGTGTTGAGAATTTGGGATCTCCTTTGTTAGCTTTTAGATCTGTATTAGTTTAAGGCAAGCACAGCAGCTCTCGGACTGTGACCTTTTTCAGAAAGACATTAGCAGGACTACTTGAGGGTGGAAAGGCCTGTGAATACCAGGGGTACTGAATACCCGGGGTGCTTCCATCTGAGCTGTGAGAAACTCTTTTGCTGCCTCAGAAACAAAGCCATGAGTTAAGATGATGGCTACGTACGCAGCACCTCCTGTAGCAGACAAGAGAGCAAGAGAGACGCTGTCGTAATCTCAGGTGAAGCTCTGCAATCACGGGAAATAAGAGGGCCTTGAAACAGAGCACGCCAACATACCTTGGTCCTGATCCGGAGGTGAGCGTAAGGCACGAACTCGGGCCGCTCGTGCTCGTGATGTGCTTTCAGGTAGCAGTTCAGCATGCAAACGCCGACCCCGGGCAGGGCCACGACATAGCTCAGGAGCTTCCACAGCCGGGCTAGGAGGAAGCGTTACACGAATCAGAACAACAGTCGCCGTCTACGTTAGCGTTAAGTGACCCGCGAGCACGTTAACTGCAGTCAGTGCGCTAACGAGGCGTTACGCTCCGCGTCCCTCAGCGGAGCGCGGGCCTCCTCCCCGTTCTCAACGCGGAGAAGCGAGCGCCCCCCTCTCGCGGGGATCCTGGGCTCTCCCGTGCAGACGGCCGCCCCTCGCCAGGGCTCGCACCGCCGGGGCC